ATTGATGTGCAAGAAAGCTGGGTTTACATTAGATGGGTGGGTGGGTAGGTGGATGCGTGCAGACCCTTGGGCAGCAAAAGTCAGCTTCCACAGAATCTCATACCATAGGCCTTGTTTCCTTCTTATAACCAAAATTTCTGCTTTAGACAAGCCTCGCTATTTCCTAGTGCCTGTGAAGCAGGATACAGAACATATGAAACCAGAAATTGAACAAACTTTAGCAAACTCTAGGATTAGAGCCTGCTTCAGGGCTAAGACATGGTGCTAATACAGCAATCCTTGAAGCTTGACTTTTGCAAATAGATGAAAACAGTGTTCGAGATTGGCTTATCTGGCACCTTTCGAAGTGCTAAATTAATTAAAAAGATGAGTGCTGAAAGTGGTGGCAAGTGGAATGACATTGTATTGTTGAAAGTGCAACATTTCGTACAAGGAATAGTGTGGCAGTTTCCTTTTGGAAGTGCTGCTTTGGAGAACACCATAGTTCACTGACCTGGCATAGCAGCCTCCTCCCTGTGGATAGTTTGCACATTGCAGAAGCAAATTCACCAGGCTTTCTCGTTTAGATTCTAGCCCAATATTGCTAGTAAAAACATCTAGTGAACATAATACGGCTAGGCTAGAGAGTGCTTCCTTTCATAAACTGACATTTGGAAGCAAGCACTTAAGTCCCAGAAAAGGATCTGTAGAAGTGCAATTCTAAACAAAAATGAACCATCATAATGCAGCTGCTTTCAGGTAAGAATCAAGAAAATATACCCTAATTTATATCCATAAAATGGCCATTTTTGCAGCATTTTTACTGCTACAGTATGGATTTTAAAGTGATAGCATATTAGGTTAAACTATAATGCTTTTAAACCTGTCATAACCTTAGCTAGATTGAATATAAAGATGTTATTTACCTTCAACTGTAGCCTGCTTAGCACACAACCATTTTAAAAATTATGTGTATCAAGCAGCACTGCAATGACAGTTTTCATAGCAGGGACTTTATCCTGCAGAATGCTGGTGATACCCGAGAGCTGGGTAATACGTGCATTTCTTATTAAAGCAAATGCAGAAGTGATTCCTTTAAAGCACTCAGCACTTTTAAAGTTTGGTCAGTGTAATCATTTTTTCCTTCATTGGTCCTTCTTGGAAAGCACCCCTTAGCCATGCTCAGAGTCTGGCAACAACAGCAAAAAGGCACTCCACCTCTCTTCACTGCTATTATGGCACAACTGTGGGTGCTTGGGCTCAACAGTCCAATAAAGATCGAAAGAAGCTCACAACTGACTGGCTATTTGTTTCAGGCGTCCTGTGAACAGTGGTGTCAAGCCCCCAGCTTCAGTTCAAGGAAGCTTTGAAGCATGTGCTTCATTTTAAGCATACACCTAACACAGCCCTTAATGCTTTTCTGAGCTGAGTGAGTGTTGACTCAGTAACCACTGATCAGTAATAGAGAAGGAAATGTGCATTTAGAAAAAGTGCCTTTGGCTGAGCTCTGACCTGTGCTTTTAATGTGGCTGAACCGAAATCTGAGTTGAAACTGAAGGTACTCTTGGGTAGATGCTCAGCCTGCCACAGGTGATGCTCAGTGTTGCACAGATATCCTGTCTTCATTGTAATGCCATCTGGCAAGAACACCACCTCTTACGATACTTTTATTGATACTTTCCAAGATATTAAGTATTACCTTCCCAAAAATGCTGAGGCAGTGGAAGTAACTGTGCCTAAAGTGACTGTTACTGGCAATGACAGACATGGAGATACCTCAGGACTTCTCAGTCCTGGATGAATACTCTGCCCAGTGAAGTCTTTTGCCTTCAGGAACAGAAACGGACACAGCTCCAGGCAAGATGATGTGGAAATAACACCAAAGAACCCTGTGGCTTGTGCTTATTCTGTAAATCGAATTCTTGGTGTCAATACTGATGAGTCAGTCTTGTTATGACTGCAAAGAGAGACAGCTAGGTCTGTGAAGTTATGGATCGGTTCATCACAGAGACATCATTTGGAGGCAATTTATCATCATCACTCTAGGGGTGTGTCATTCATTTTACTGAATGACACTGGAAACAGCATAGAGTCCTACCATAAATACACTGTGGTTCTGTAGCAAGGAACCATGGGAAAAAAAGATTTGGAGAGTGTTGGTTCCTTTTTTTTTTTTAAATTGCTTTTCAAAATCTCTTGATGTAAGTTGTGACAAATAAGAAAAAAATAGAGACACCTATTTTATCGTTTATTGCTTTCATTAATTTTTAAGAAATGAGTCAAAGAAATCACTGAAAAGAACCAGTAGCAGAGGCTGTACAATGAGCAGATCTAAGAGCCATCTTAATATTTTATGAGGCCAAAAGCTGCTCATTATGAACCATCTTTTAGTGGCACTTGCCCTTTGTCTGGGTATATATGGCTGCATGTTTTTAAGGGACTAACTTTTCTAACTTTCTAAGGAAATGCCTCTTAAGATGGGAGTAAAAGTGGTCATTTGGAATTGTTTGGTTGCTATGTCAGTTTAGGTTATGATAAGGTGGGAAACTGATGCTTTGCTTGCGTCTCAGCCTCTTTGTTTGTCACTTCAAACTCTCCACATGGAGTGGCTTCTCAGTCAAAGGTGATTGAGAATAGTGATGCAGAGAGCCTTACAGCCAGGCTGCCTGAGAGAGGAGTAAACTGTAACACAGAGACCAGTGGGCTGAATTGAGCAAAGCACTTAAAAATGTGTGTCTGTTCTCTGTCCATGGAGTGCTCACGTGTATTTTTTTAGAATCATAGAATCATTCAGGTTGGAAGAGACCCTTGGGATCATTGAGTCCAACCATCTATGCTACTCTACAAAGTCCTCCTCTACACCATATCCCTCCGTACCCCATCTAAACGTCCCTTAAACACATCCAGGGATGGTGACTCCCCCCCCTCCCTGGGCAGCCTATTCCAATGCCCAACCCCTCTTTCTGTGAAAAGTTCCTTCATAATGTTCGGTCTAAACCTACCCTGTTGGAGCTTGAAGCCGTTCCCTCTTGTTCTGTCATTAATTACCTGTGAGAAGAGACCAGCCCCAGCCTCTCTACAGTGTCCTTTCAAGTAGTTGTAGAGAGGGGTGAGGGCTCCCCTCAGCCTCCTCTTCCTCATACTAAACAGCCCCAGCTCCTTCAGCCACTCTTCATATGATTTGTCTTCCGGAGACCCTTCACTAGTTTCGTTGCCCTCCTCTGCACTCACTCCAGCACCTCGATCTCTCTCCTGTATTGGGGTGCCCAGAACTGGACACAATACTCGAGGTGTGGCCTCACCAGTGCTGAGTACAGTGGGGGAATCACCTCCCTACTTCTGCTGGTCATGGTATTTCTAATACAAGCCAGAATGCCATTGGCTTTCTTGGCCACCTGGGCACACTTCCACACCTTAAATTAGGTGGAGAGCTGTAGGAGTTGGTCCCCTTTTAAATGGCTTTGAACCTGCATTGAGTTAGAAGCAAATCACAATGTAGCTAGGAACGGAACTCGGGATGCCTTTCATTCAGCAACCCTGCAAAAAAATGCTCCTCCATTTCTTGCGTGACGTCTCCTGTAGGGAGAGAAGAAGAGCCTAGTAATGGACTGAGTCTGTGGAAGTTCTAGCATGACTTTCTGTTTTTTTATGGATTCAGTAACAAGCATTTACATGTGGCAATGCATGGGAACAGGGTTGAGCTCTCAGAACCATCACTGTGTTTTTGGTATGCTGTGCTACACTGAATTACTGACAAATACCTGGAAATGGATGTTCTGAATGATTTAGGAATAATGTGAACTCTTACTGAACTTTTGTTGGGTTTTCCTTCCATTTGCTGTTTCAACATGAGAACAAGGAGGGCATTATTTATAACAACAAATGTAATATCCCACAAGGAGAAATATTTTGAATTGACAGAATCTTGAGAGCGCAAATATGGTTTCATAACTAAATACATTTTCAGTCAGGAAAATGAGAGTTAGTCAATAATGAAATGTCTTTGAAAAGGCTTTCCTTTTGTGTTGTTTGTTCAATTTTTTTTAAATGTCCTTGGAAATATTTGCAGCTGTCTTGATACAAAAGTAATCAGAATATCTATATATCACAGTATCTCAACAGGTGACGCTATTCTCAAAGAGCTTGGGTGGATTTCTTTATTGATATGATTCAGTCAGAATGGGACATACCATGAACAATAAATCATTTAGAAATTGGAAATAAGAGATTTTTGAAAAAATTAAATTAAGATTAGGGAACCTAATTTTAAGGAAGTATAGAATTCTGGGGAAAATGAAAAATGTTCTAAGGCATTCATTAGGTGAAAGATCCCATTCAGCACAAGCTGATTTTGTATAGGAGTCTATGTCTTACAAGTTGTTTCTTATCAAGGGAATATATCCAAAGGAGTGATTTTTTTTTTAATCCCAGTGTAGGACTGGGTAGTTAATGAGGAAAAAAATAATTTGATGCATTGACTTTGGAATTTATCAACAGAAAATAGCTTTGCTTTAATTGACTCAAAATCAGAGTGTTAAACCATACAGATCCTGATCCTACCATGTCATGCAGTTAGATCACTGAGTCTTCATAGATTTTAGTTGATATCACTGAGTTCCTACGAGAATCAACAGTGTGGATTTCATTTCATGAATCTTTTATAGTTTCCTGAGAGTTAAAATGGAGAGTAAAACTGGCTTAATTTAAAGTGGGTTGGTAGGCTAAATTAATTAATAATTTTATAGATCTTCCTGTTCCTTCGGTAGGATATGTCAAGTAAATGTTAGAGAGTTTGAACTTCAGAAACAGTGTCTTTGGAGATTCTGTTGAGAAACCTATCATGGTAGTGATTGTTGCTGGGGGGAGAGGGGCTTGGACCATGCGTCCCTAATTGTTAAAAGCTCCTCAGATGGGAAAAAAAAAAAAAAAAAAGAAACTATGGATTCTCTTTATTTAATGTCTTGATACTCTTTTCTTTTGAAGGTCTGGATGAATTATTTCTGACTCTTTGTTTTTCTCAGGTTGGAGGTCACACCATGCTGCCCATTCGTTGGATGCCTCCAGAGAGTATCATGTACAGGAAGTTCACTACAGAAAGTGATGTCTGGAGCCTGGGGGTTGTTTTATGGGAAATCTTTACCTATGGCAAACAGCCATGGTACCAGCTCTCTAACAACGAGGTATGTGTAATACATTCTCAAACTGCATTGGGAGAGCTGGGACATTAACTATTGGTATAGCCTCTCTGGAGAAGGGACAGCAACGTATGTATTTGGTAATGGCAAAACCCCTGATATCAGGTGTTCATGGTACTGTCAAAAATTTCATGGTTGAATTTCTTCCTTTTCAGCCTTTTCTCCCCAGGGTGGATGAAAGTTCTCCAACCAGATCTCTACCATTTGGAATTTAGCTTTTTCCTTTGTATAGGATAGAGTCTGCTCTGGGTATTGAGAAAGACCGTGAGGCAATGAAAAGGAGCTTAGGTGTCTCCTGAATGGGCTTTGTGTGATTTCAGTTCCATATCATTCTTGTCATTGTTGCAAAGTGGTTGTCCAAAACCATTCTTGAGTAGACTGAAGTAACCTGGACATCTCTTAGTTTCCAGGCAGCTACAAGTAACTCCCTTCCAGAGATCAGTCACAGTGATACTCATAAGTTTAAGGAGGGAGGGCGGGAGAGGTACTCATGCTCTGTGTGAGTAGGGTGAAAACTTAGCCTCCTTCTAAGATGAGGTGAGTTTTTTAGATGGGTAGAGAGAGGAGGTATGGGATTACTTCCTGACCATCATTCTCTCAAGAGTGGGAGGGGCAACGTGGGTGAACTTGACATCAGTGAAGATACTGCTCCTTGACAATTTACAGTGGATTTTCCAGATCGCATCCTGCTGCTCATGCGTCCACCTAGAAATGCAGCCCTTGGCAGAGTTGGCTGGGTGACTGCCACCAGTGAGGCTGCTTTGGCAATTAGCAGTTAACTCGTCCATGGATGCATCCACCTCCCCTCGCCCCCTCAGTTGGCAGAAGCGTGCTGATCCTTTCCTTGTGATTTCTCGTAGGTGATTGAGTGCATCACTCAGGGTCGAGTCCTGCAGCGACCTCGCACGTGCCCCAAGGAAGTGTATGACTTGATGTTGGGCTGTTGGCAACGGGAGCCTCACATGAGGCTCAACATCAAAGAAATCCATTCCCTCCTCCAGAACTTGGCCAAGGCATCTCCAGTCTACTTGGATATTTTAGGCTAAAGTCTCCTAGCGTATCTTCTTACGGGCTGCGGGAATGAATGTGTTCAACTGCCGCTGAACTCCATTAAAATGTGTTCTTAACTTTGACAGTATTTATGACAAAGTTGCGGAGAAGCTTTCAAAGGGCAAGCAATGTGCACTTCTCCATCTGTAGACACAGTATTGACTTTTTAGACATTACTGAGACGTATCTCTCCTCTCTCTCTCTCTCTTTCTCTCTCAGTTTCTATCATTTTTTTCTTCTCTCCTGTCTTTCTAATCAATTTGGCTTCTGCATTATTGTAACTCTGCATAGACAAAGGCCTTAAAAACCTGATCTGTTATATCAGCAGACTCTTCAGTTTGCCCGCCACAAATAACAATGCCTTGTTGTATTCATGCCTTTGATGTGGATGAAAAAAGGGAAAAATATATTTGACTCAAACTTTGTGATTTCTGCTGTACAGCTACTGGGAGTTTCTATGGATTCACCTCAATTTTTTTGCTTCGGCACGTGGGTGGAAAAAGAAGACTGGTGTTCTCTACATGAAGCATATTCCTTGCAGAGATAAAGCCAGATGAAAAGAAGACTTGTGTGATACACTATCTGGAGGAACTAGGGGATCAGATGGCATCCAACGCCACAAAAAAAAAACAAAAACAAAAAAACAAAAAACAAACAAACCACAAAAAACTGAAACGATTTGATGGAAGGCAAGAGGGAGTTTAGCACTTTCCCTGAAGAGTCTTTCTGAGGACTAAAGGGATTGTTCAAGGAGGTGCTTTGCCAGCACCTTTCATTGCCAGATACAAGTAAAAGGGAAAAAGATGCTGCCTGCACTGCACACAATTGTGTTACAACTTGATAAACTAAACACATGCCCTTATTTTGTCTTCTGGTAGGATATTGTCATGCCACTGGTATAAAAATGTTCTCCAGCTAGTCTTTTTTAATAAAAGCTGAAGCTAGGCTTATTAATGTACAGTATTAATTTCAGGATCACATATTGAAGCTAAGGATTTTGATAAGATAGGACAAGCTATAGATGCTGGGGCAGGTGTATCTTATACTGTGCTTGTCCAGCAGCATATTCCTTCCTTCCTCAATCCTTTTTCTTTTTTTTTTTTTTCCAACCATGCAAGCAAAACCGCATGGTCTTTGTCGATTAATGCCCTTTGTGCAGAAACTATCACTCATCTTGTAGTACATCCTAGTAGGCATAGCGAACTCATACCAATATAACTTATATTTCATTAGAAGGGGCTAATGGAGGACATTAGCCATGTAAAATGCCTTTACAATGTTACAAATACAATAGGCTGATATAACATGAATAATCTAAAGCATGGGGATCACTGGTTATATTTGAGCCATGGCAGGGGATAGACATCTCTAGAGAAAACAAATTACTCTGAGGTTATGGCTTACAATTCAGAGTGCAAAGACCCTGAGCTCAGCACCATGTTTGTGTTGGTACTAGTGCTGTCGTTACGTACATCCACTCGTTCTTAAATAATTTATTTTCAGTTGGATTGGCATTATATGTGTACAACATTTGCATGGCCACTGTGCTGATGACAGCTGCATGGGCATACATGTTATTTTTCAAACCGGAAGTTGACGATTTCCAATTTAGAGTTAGGATTATTTTTAATATGAATTCTTACAAATGAAAACGTACCTTACCTGTTCTCAAGACTTTTTCCTCCCTCTGTGAGGGGGCGTTACTGCAAAAAAGTGATCTTTCTTTCTGTTTTCTCTTTTTGTTATTTCTTATTGATATGAGCCAGATCAAGATAATCCTTCATCTTTGTGTTGGGGATATTTTATTTAATAAATTAAGCATTTTATTTTTATAAGTGTTCCCATAGCACATTTAATATATAATTTGCTCGCATATATTATTTATTGAGGCACTTTAGGTTTTTCCTTCAGAAGCTTTTAGAGCTAGCTCATAAAGATTCTGAACATTTTCAAAAGAAAACAGTTCACTGGACAGTGATGAAGTTTTACCCTTCTCAATGTCATTGAAAAGGCAGCGTTACAAATAAACATGATAATGTAACTATAAAGCCATACTCGGTATTTCTTTAATAAACTAGAAGTTATTTCTTAACCGCTACTGAACTGGAAACACACAAAAAGCCAGAAGAAGATTCCTACAAAATGGGCCTTAAGATTTTATCTAGACTGTCTTGGAAGTTCAGAAAGCTAGATAAAGACTGAGCATCCAGTGAAACCCATTTTCTTGAAAATCCAAATGTTGTGTTTTAAAGGAATTTGAAATTGATTTTCAAAATAACAGTTGTGGAAAAGAAAGGTGTCAGAGTCCACTCTTCCCTGTGCAGTGGGAGGAAGCTGCAGGCGGTGGAGGAGGGTCCTAAGTTTCTACCTGTTGTATTCTGTATTAGTTTCTTACGAGCTGAAGAAAAAGGCATCTGAGATGCTTCTTCTATTGGAAAGCAGACTCCAGCCTGAAAGCAAACAGGTGGATTTTGCAAGCACTAAAAGAATGTATACCAAAAATAACCACAAAACCCTGAAATTGTACTTAGCGGCATCTTCTTTTTGATTAACTAGTGAGACTATTAGAGTGATTTCAGAGAATAAATAGTGTTACAATGCATTGTGCAATAACATAGCAGTATGTTAAACTTCTAAAGGACCAAATGTTCTATAGAACCACCGGTATGGATAACCATGACCTATATCATTAATGTTCTTGGTAGTGCTTAAGATGTATAATCACAGTAGACAAACTGTAGCTATACCTAGTTTGCGTTTGCTCATGAAAAGGTGGGTAAGTGTAGCAGAATGAGCACAGAAGAGGAAGAAATATGTTCAGATCACAATGAAGGGTGAGTATATGTGCATATTCATCATGCTTGCACTGTCAGCTCAATCGTGTACACTGAGTAAATATGACAATCAGGCTCATTTAAAAAGTCTTTCTAGATTGTGCTATGAACTGATCATATATATAATATATATTATATATGTGTGTTTGCATATGGCATATATATATACACACACATAGCATATACATGTATGCCTATGTCTGTTGTATTTTATTTATATATGTGCAGACATGCATGCACATTATGTATGGGCTGTGTGTATATGTATAAATTTACATACACCTACATTATTAAAAATGATGATTAGAGTGCTATTAATAAATTGATAAAGTCTGCTGAGTAACCAAAATATTTTTTTCTTTTGATATTTGTTTTTTGATGTTTGAAAGATTAAACTTTTTAACTGGTGTGCAGCAGAGGCAGTGCTAGAATGCCAGAGACACAACAACAAGCACTTTTTTTTTCCCCAGATGATTGCATAAAAACGTTTCTTCCATTCCCATCTCACATGTTGATTTCTCACACTGAAAAGAACCGACAAGCTTCCAAGCTGGGAAAACAGAGTTTGTTTTACTGTCGTTTCTGGGTTTGTGCTAATGTTGTTTTATTGTCCTAGAATAACAGTGCAGCTCCATTAGCATTTTATACTCATCTGCAGTAGTGAAATAATTCCAAGAATGAGCTGAACTATTCAGACTGCAACACGACTTGTAGGACAATGAGAACGCCAAAATTCAGCAGTAATAATCGCACCATTGGCCACCCTCTGTCCTTCACTCTCAATAGATCTGCAGAACTCAGAACTGGCCGTGGAGAACAGATGCTTGTAAAGCAACAGCACCCCATGATGCATGATGGAGTGTACCCTTTTAAAAAGGACTTCATTCATTTTGATTTGTAAAACAATATATCTATATATTGTCTACAGTTAAATAAGTAACTGTCAATTTTTTCTCTTTCTTTTTCATCCTTTCTTGCTATTTTTTATCACTTTCCTTCCTTCTTTCTCATTTCTTTCCGTTTCTCCTCTTCCCTTCCTCTTTTCTCTTCCTTTCTCTCTTTCTCTCTTTCCCTCTCTTTCTCTCTGTACCCCTCCCCAACTTTCTGGGAGATTGTTTTTGTTGTGGTTGATGTAGACTTTAAAAAATACTTTAAAAAAAATTAAATAACACAATAAAACAATTAGGTCACTGGATGACTAAGGTACAATGCATATGTGTTAGAACAAGTCTGTCTCTGGGTTGTTGCAGCCTGTAACTGAATTTCAAATACTGCTGTAAAATGTGAGGGAGGGGAGTGGGGAGGGGCTGGGGAACTGATTGGGGTTTCTAATCAAAGATGAAGGTTTTGATAGCACAGGAAGTTGTATTTTGTTGTTGTGAGGGCTGGGATGAACCACCGCTGCTTTGAATCAAGAGGTCCTTTAGAGCCTTAGTTAAAACACCTTTATTTGGGTGGGGCGGGGGAGTGTGCTATATTCATCACAGATATGAAGCAAAAAAAAAAAAAAGTCTACATGTTGCAGGGAAAACACTGTGAATTTCACAATAGCAACCAAGTGACTATTTTGCCATCTTTTAAACATACGTCTCAGGAGAAGAAACGGGAAATGATGGGTGTGTTATTTTTCCGTCTATGCATTCTAGACCAGGTCTGTGGGGATATTTTGTTTGCTTGTAGAAGGTTCTGAGTGATGACCAGCTGGTATTTTATAAACACTGAATACTTTGGGCAAGGATAATAGAAGCTGCTAGTAGTGAGGCCGTTTGATTGGAATATGTGAAAAAACGGAGATCAAATAAAATCAAATCTTTCCAGAGGCCTATATCTTGCAGCTTATATATATCTTTCTGTAACTTAAAGAAAAGCAGCTAAGAATGTTTTATATACAAGTAATTTAATTCAACATTGATGTTTAATTGAATCACCAATAGAGAGAGAATCAATTAATTATGAAATATTTGTCCCAGCCCTGCTCTCCACCTATACTTCATGTATATATATATTTCTAGATATCACTCTCTTTGTCACTTAAGGTAAAGAGGAAGATATCTACATATGAATATAAATCTCTATATTGTCACCAAACTGTGACCTGGTGTGTAGAGCTATCTTTCTCCTTTCTTTTTTCTTTTTCTTTTTTCAATGTGATGTCTCCATGGAAATATTTAGTGGTTCTTGTTTTGCAGTTTGTTATAACAGGTCATTGCTTTAAAAGTTTCATTGCATCTTGGCTGATTTCAAAGTGATGCCTAGGTATCAGTGTTAAAAGTTTTGTTTGTGAATCATGTGACCAGCTTCTCTCAACATGACATGGAAAGTCTCTTGTATTACAGTGTATTTAATAAAAATGATGTCTTACAATAAAAAATGTCATCCAAAAGAAAGATAAAATGATTACTTTAGAAAACTTAAAAATTTCATGAAGTGGTGTGTGCTGTTTTCTTTTGTTTGAATGTCTTCATTTTAGCTCCATTCTGGAGGATGAAATTAAGGTACAGTTGGTTATGCTTACAAACATGACATATTCGCACTCTAAACCACCGAATTAAAAACTGGGTTGCTGAACTCGTAATTGATGAGAGAGGAGACCCATAATAATAGAGCAAAGAAATATCCAGTCTGAATGTGATGACAGACTCTTCATTTTCCAAATGAAGATGCTATTTGAATGCTTGTTCACTTGGGGAGCTGGCTTGGCAAATATCTGTTGATCTTCTAGCAGAAACAAGCCTTCAGATATTTTCTAGTGTTTTGCTAAAAGTGTCTCTCAAACGACAGCCCCATTAAAAATGCAGTTTGTTCTTTTTAAGTCATGTCAGTCTAGAATGAAAGTATTGTGAACAAATACAGCACTAAATCCAAGTCCTTGAAGAACTTAATTAAGATTCAGAATGCAGAGGGCTTAGACATCGAAGGGAAGGTTCAGCAACTTGATTAAAGATCCCTCCACAAGCTATTGATCTACCAGGCCCTTCAAGGTTAGAGTAAAACAAGATGAGAGCCACTTTATGACTGCACCTGCTTCCCTCTGCCAAGAGACCGCTCTGAGATTAGATGAGCTGGCTACAAGCACTCCAAAAGTCTAGGGAAAATAATCCACTAAGAAGAAGCTTCAGCATAGAGTTTGTCCAAAGGTGTGAGAAAATCCTTCAGCCACACTAAAAAGGTTTGTTGGCAGGTTGTGTTCACCCGATGACTTACAGCTGGCTAGCCTGCTTTAATGGTGAAATCCTCATGCCTTCCCGACTGGGTGGGTTGTGCTGCCATCCCAAAACGACACACCTCTCTGCGGAGGACCTGGCAGCAGTGAGAGCCAAAACTCTCAGTGCCGAGCCTGTGTAAGCATGGCCCTGCAGTCCCACCAACACGGGCACCACAGCCCACACACCCTCCCCACCGTTCCCTTTCCCCGGGGATTTTTAAGCCCAGGGGCAGGCAGTGGCAGCAGGACTGGATGTTGCCACCCCTCGTGGCCGCTCTGCCTCCTGAGAGATGAGCCAGATGAGCCAGCAGTGCCCGTGGTCAGCATCAGCACTACACTGAGTATTTTCGCAGCATCACAGCAGGGCAAGGTGGTTGTTCCTCTCCTGTGCAGCCCAGACCACCCCCGAGACTACAGTTTGAGCTTCATCTCCCCAGCAGCCTCCCACCTTACCCACGGTGTCCAGTAGCTTCTCCCCAGCTCATCCCAGCGTTCCTCAGTGTGTTCTGGGCAGGCAGGAGGTGTTGATACTTTGATACCCTTGCTCATCTCTGGTTGAGGAAGGAGGAATTTTGCGTGTTTTCCTGTCTTTCCTACCTGGGCGCGCATGTCCCCACCATGTGGACCATGTCACAGAGCAGAGGCTCAACTTAAAAGGAATGACTGGTGCCATTTTTATTGCTTTCTATTCAGTGCAACTGTAAGGGTGAAGTTATTAGTTCAGGCTGCACAAGGATCTTGCAGAAGACCCTTTAATGTGGCTGAAGAACTCTCCACAGAGAGTTGTGAAATACCTAAAGGGCCAGGAGGGGATGTGCAACGCAAGTCCTGCGCCTCCTTCTGCTAAGACTCCACAAACTTCCACAACTGATTTCAAGACAAAGAAGTCTTTCTGCTAAATGCTTCATATAACTGGAAAATCAATCATCTTGATCACGGTATTATTATAAAAGTGATTCACAGGGTCTATTGATGACTCCCATTAGTATTTTTTAATGGCTATAATAATTTATTTTTAACTCCCTGAGAAAGATTATGTTACATAGAAGAATGATGGCCCCGGAAAGGATGAAAAAGAACTCTTTGGTGTCATTAGGACAGGGTCAGGCAGACTCTACTAAACCAGCTTACAGGTTAGTTTGCCAAATCAGCTTATTAAAATTTATCGTAAACCATAGGTTCTGACAGGCAAGGCTTCATGCAAGAAAGAAAAATATTTGAAGTAATCACCTAAAGAATCACCCAACTCATTTCCATGCTAAGAGCCCTGTGCTTCGACTTCTTGATGATGGTTTAATCTGCACAACATGCAGATTTTCGGAATTGAAGATTTTAGGGCATCGGTCTATTTTTATCAGTGATGCAATTAAAAATGCTGATAAAAAAGACTGTAAGCAGAACAAGAGAGGTGTGGAAAAACAGTTGGTTTACTTTCTTGAGCTGGTAGTCACATCATACAAAAATATGTACTATCACAAATTGCCACAATTTGAGCTAAAACTCAACCTAGACCAGGCTGGATAATGATGCTTAGAACTGAAGAGGTTGTGCTCTTTCCAGCTGCGGTCTGTAATAAATGGTATGCAAGGAGAGAAGAGATGGATGGGAGATAATCAAAGAGCAGGTGAGAAAACCCGTGTTTGAAATGTGATGTAAATATTAAATGTGTAGTTTTGTTGTCCTAGTGTCTGACCTTAAAGACAAATAAAACAGACACTTGACAAATAATATACACATATTTTGAGCACTTCCCATACAGAAGAAGGTGTTTCCAGGCCTAGCGGTGCTTTGTTATGATAAAATGACTGCTAGTGTCATGGAAAGTCCAGGTCTGCCACTCTATTATCCTGATTTTTGCATTATGTTATTTTTTTTCTGAAAGAGTTCGTTTAAATACTCAAAGACTGATATGCTGTTCAATGTGTCACAGCATGGGCAGAAATGGGTCAAGGGTTAATTAATCTGAGTTTGCCAGCTAGCCCAGTTAGAAACTGTTGGGAATAAATAAGTAATTTATCGGAGATTAGCAGAAAATGGGAATATTGACAGAAGGTAACTCCCAGGGCAGGCCCCTGCTGGGGGTAACCCAGTCCTTCTCTGGCAGGTTGGGGCTGCAACAGGAATGCCAAGGCATTTAGCACCTTCTTGTTTACAGTCTGGAACCAATTTACAACTGTTTTGCGATAGCTGATCAAAGGGGAAAAAAAAAATCCCTCTAGAGCACCTTTCTGTATGCCCTTCTAAGCCAGCGCTACCAGACCTGGTCCTGGCTAATACTTAAATTGAAACGACTTTCTTCCCCAGCATGTATTACCAGGGCAAAGCCTTCAAATTTGGCAGAGGTGATCAACTTCACCCCTGGAAGCAGACGGTTCCTTGCCAGTTGGTTTTCGCACCTGTAAGTGTCCTGTAATTTCCGTGCCCTGGTACTGTGGAGACAGCATATGCTCTCAATGCGTGTGAGGGTAACGGAACAGTATGTATCGAGGAGAAAAAGCATCTAAGTGGAAGCCAGCCCAGCCTACAAAGTGGACAGAAGCTGATCTTGTGGACAACAGAAGCTGACCTTGTGGGCTACAAGCAGTGGCTAGGCAGTGCCAACCGGCCCATGGTATCTACTGAGGAGTAAATGTGGGAAGATCTCTTCTCAGCATGCTGATGTTATTCTCCCCAACAGAAATCTCTCCTTCTTCCCTCATACCCCGCAGTATGGGAGACAAAGACCAGACACAGCATGGGTGTCCCCACAGGGGAGAGCACAGCCTTGGACCTCAGGTTCGTGTGGCTATTGGAGAGAGTCCTGGCAACCAAGAAGTCCCTGTCCCCAAATGCTTGTGCTGATGGGCTTTCCCTCTGTCCACATCCTGAAAGAGATGATGGGCATGATTCCCCTTTGCTGGCAGAAGCTGAGTCTAACGCTGACAACAAGCCCCCTGTCCATCTGTGGTGAGCTGGCGCAGCCCCAGGGGATGCTTGTGCAGGTGGCACAGTGTAGCTCCATCGTGAGCAGGGTGCACGTGGCTGTGGGCAGCCTGTAATGCTCCTCGACTCTTCCCTGAGGCCTCTGGAGCAACCCAGCACCAACACTGGAGCAGAAGAGGGAAGGAGCTCACTTTCACTGAGGCAGGAAAAGGGCTGAGCATGCAATGACCTTGGTCTTAGGAGAGTGGCAAAAGCTGTTAATCACTGTGAGGGGAGTTGCCTATCACCCTGTTCATCACGAACACCCCACACAGAACTTCCCGCGTGCCCATCTTCACGTGTTGCTGTGGCACCAGAGCACCCATCTAGCAAGCAGCAGAGGGGGTGGCTGTGAGGGCTGCAGAGCTGCCCACTTCAGCATGGGCTGGTGCTCAAGACGATGGCACATCTCCTCAGGGGTACACCCTCCATTTTGGGTGGACCTGCTGGCTGGGGGATGCCACTCATTGCAACTCAGGCAGCCCCATGTTGTTTGCCTTGCAAGGGGCTGGTGATTGGGCTGGGATTTGTCTTAGCCTTGGCCATTTTTTGGGTGCTTTGTGCTTGCCTTGCCTTGCCTTGCCCCCAGCTGGGGGTCTGGCAATGGAGAACCCGCTGGATCCCATCCTTGCCCCAGGAGGGGACCAGCTCCCTGGCCCCAGTCACTCACCTTCTCTCCACCAGGCACTGCCTATCTTCCTCCTGGCAGGGCAGCTCATAAATCACACAGTGCCATAGCTTTATGGCTTTAAGGATCTTGAGATTCAAACACCAAAATACAAGTCCTGGTTTAATTGCACTGATTACACCTGCTCACAAAAGGAGAACTGACCCGCCTTGTCCCAGGGACTACTTAAGCGTTTCTCAGAGGTACGGTCAGTCCCACCACCTTTCACTCGTTTGCCTCATCCAGGTGACCCCTGGGGTGGCACCAGCAGTATTTGCACCCGTGTGCCTCGTCACTGTCGGCCCTGGGCACACCCCGTCAGCCCCACATGTTCCCACCACTCCTGATGAGGTTGGTTTTTGGGAGGCAGGACACAGGTGCCTGGGTGCCCTGGCCAGCACAGCGCTGGGGGGCAGAGGTGCAGCCCTGCGCTCCTCATGCGACCCCACTGCTGTATTTTGCTGCTGCTGCAGCTGATTGCTATTTCTAAAACCGGCTTTTTTATTCATCAGGCAATTTTTTTCCAGCACTTAACTTAGTCTGTTAAGAGCACTGCTGACATCCCCAGCTCCTATAATTAACGTT